CGGAGCGTGTTGTGTGAAATCCCCGCGGATAGGAATGGCAGCTCCACACCCAGCCAGCATGGGTCGGGGATTTGCATGGGCACCGTGCCACACTGACACTGATTCTCTTTTAATTGGGTGTGACGATAGGAACTTTGATGGGGTTTGGGGTAGTGTGGACAGAAGGCAGGGAACAATGGCGAAAGAAGTAGTCAGATTGTTTACTTAAGTAGCAATACCACAGTGTAAAAATACTCTGTTACAAGTAAAAGTCTTGCATTCAACATTTTACTTAGGTAAAATTAACAGAAAATATACTTTAAGTACCAAAGGTAAATGGCAAAATGTACATCAAATTATTTAATGTTATTGATCTGTTATTGTGTACATTACATTTAATGTTGTAGCTGGTTATACAAGTTATACTGTAGCTAATTTTTAATCCCTTATTATGCTTTTAATTTAAAGTACTGCTGGGTAGCTTGTGAATATTAAACCAAGGATCAATAAATCTTGTGATTATACTGTATTTTGTTTTATTAACCTCTTTCTGAAAAGTAACAAGTAATGAAAGTTATCAAATAAATGTAGTGAGTACAAGTACAGTATTTAAGGTTAAAGTGTGAATTAGCAGAAAATTAAAGTACTCGAGTGATATACACATACCTCAAAATTACACTTTAGTACAGTACTTGAGTAAATGTACTTAGTTACTTTCCACCTCTGTCAGGAAAAGGTAGAGTCCTAATCCTGTTCAAAAGTCACTCTGTCTAATTCTTTTTGAAGGTCTAGTTGTAAATATCTTGATTCTTTGATAAATTGCCTTGAATTTTGTAAAGACATACCAGGATGAATCTTATTGGCCGAATGCCTACCTAAACATTATACCTGGAAAAACAGCAGCATATTAGCAGTGTGAGCATATTAGCATACTGACATTAGCATTTTACAGAAAGTGCCTCTAGTTTTTTAGTCTTATATCAGTATATTGACTTGTTCGTAGTTTTTTAAATTCAGAAGAAGCTAGTACACTCCTGCCACTGTCAACACTAGGTCTGCTGAAAAAGCAACATTTTCATCACAGGTCTGTGTCAGGTGTTCTAAAATATCAAAACAACGTCCTTATACTATAGACGTGACAACCAATGAAATGAAGTAATTACATAAACTCAGTAAAGCAAAGTATCTAAACCTTTTACTTGTGCATAATGACTGAATATCAGTGCTTTCTGTTGTTTATGCTATTATTGGACTAATGCACTGATTCATTTTCTTTGTTGGAAGCTTTACAATGTAAATTAGTGTCATTGTAAAAATCTGGCAGCAAGGTTCCAATAAATTGTACATTTTTAATAAGCCCGTTTAAACACTTCTTCCTGACAGACAGTAGAACTGGACTTTAAAGACCTGTGTAAAACGTGTTTGTCTGCTTACTGTTTGCATTGCAGGTCCTTCGGTGCTCTGTTTAGTTCTCCAAATGATTCATCTATGCAAACACAAACCTGTTTGACAGAACTTGCATTGTTATTTATTATGTGCTGCAGCACCCCAAGATATTTTAAGCTTTTTTGTCTTTCCCTTGCAGAGCTGTCTCCTGGCCTGGCAGCACTGACGGTGGGCTGTGACTCGGGAAATCTGGGCTCCCTGTCCCGGGTGCAGCTGCTCCTCCTGGACCGAGCGGTGCCAGATACCCTGCAGAGTCCCTTTGATTTGGAGGAAGAGTTCTCACTGGGGGAGGACTGGAGTGATCTGAGGATGCAGGATGATCCAGACCTGACCTCAACAGGTATAGCTCTTCATGAGAGAGATGCCTGATGAGATTCTCAGGAATTATTACAAATTTAATCCTTCTTTTTCCCTATAAACCAATATAACAGCTTCAATGTAATAATAAATGCACCCAAGACACAGTGACAGAAATGCTATTCAATACTAAAATCAACAATTTTGAACAAGTTTGACAAAAGAAAATTCAATTCAAGGTCCACTAACAAGCTTCTGTCCATTTCTCAGTAAGATGAGATAATTAATTTAAAAATACTTTATCTGTCCTGGGAGAAAGTGACGTTTGTGGGCACTTGAAGGAAAGAAATATGCAAGCAGTGTATTGCCAAGATTGAATATAATCCTGTAAAAGCTTCCACGTACATGTCATATAAGTGGCTTGGTAATGCCAGGAGGGAACTGAGCCAAAAGAGACAACTCACACACACTACAAAACTGTTTTAAATCATGATGTAGTTTCCTTACTGACACTAATTCAGTCAGTAAGTATGCAAAATGTCTGTGATTTTAGCTGCGATTGTGTGAAATCTCCCCTGTGATTTTTGTCAGTGTATTTATAAAGTGCACTGGGACTGACAGGCAATCTCAGTGTACTGAGTGTAAACCGCCTGCGCCGACAAATCTTTCAGACAGTTTGAATGTGATTGTTTGATAAGCAAAAACTGTCACTTTAACAGCAGGGACCAGTCAGACAGGTGTGTTCGTGTGTGTGTGTTAGAAGAAAACACACAAGACCAGACGGGGAAAAACACAGCACTGTTAGTTGTGTGTTTTAGGTCTGCGGTTGGCCTTGAGAGCAAGTGATGCCTTTATGGCGTCGAGCGGCTTTTCTTTTAATGAGCTGCGATACCTCTCTCATCTGCTCCGAGGCATGCCGCTGCAAGCTCCTAACCGCTTTTCTCCGAAGGTGTGGCAATTGAGAGGAAAGGTTTATGGAGATATCAGGATGTGCCAAGTCAAACCGCTATAGTGGATCATTAACAGGGAAAGTCCGACTAAGATAACTGGAGACACTTAAAACCGAGCACTGCATACATAACAGTGGATAAGAAAGTGAGAAGAGTGTGTACAGAAAACCCATTTAGTCTAGTGCCTGTTTTTTATAGTCTGATAACATGTCTGAGAGTGAGATAAACAAAGCAGATGTTTAAAAGTTCAGTTCAACCAAATACCAAAGAAACAACTCTCACTTAAGATAATTTTGGGTTTATTTCTGCAAGTTCTGAGATATTTGTTTCTGAATTTTGTGCATCTATCCCAGTAGAATGGAGATGAGTGGAATGTCATTTTTGGTGTAAATAGATTTAGACAATTTAAAAACAACATCACTCTCCAGAAGGTGTCACAGTCACACTAGCAAAGGTCTCATGAGGTTGACTTTAGCGGTTTAGCTTGAAATGTCTCTTTATGGATAGATGTGAAATTTGCCACAGAGTTTTAAAGTCCATAGAAGATAAACTCCAATAACTTTGGTGATCATCTGACTTTTTTGTCTAGCATTGTGATCAGGTCAAATTTATCCCATGGTAGGATTTAGCTCGAATCACAGCTAAGTGCAGTCACACAAAGCTGCCAGCATGGCTGTGAACTCTTACAATGCTACATCACAAGACTAAAAACTGCAGCATCACTGATACTTTCATATTGTTTTACAGCCTGTTTTAACTCTGCTTAATATTGATTTATTACCTGTGCTGGACCTAAGTTCCTTGTGATACTCTCCTTTTTCCATGCTGAGTATGTGCCAGTACAGACATTGAAACAGATCCACAAACCTCGTCAAACAGTTTTCACAACAAACTACTTTCTGCTGAAGAAATGGTTCCCATGAAAACTGCTGACTGTGAGGTTTGTGAATTTTCCATTGTAAAATGAACACAGTTTTTTTGGAAAGAGGTGTTACTGTTGAATATTTAAATGTGAATTTTCAGTGTTATGAGTAACACTATTTAAATCCCATTCACCTCCACTCTACTAGTATAGCTGTAGAAATCCCAGGCACAAATCTCATAACCTGGAAAAATAAAATCAAAACCTCTACTAGAAGAAAGTGAGAGAAAATGTTTATTGGAAATTTACCAGTGAAAGAGTATATTCACGCATCTGTGCCACCAATGTTTACAACAAGAGAAAATCTGAGTTTGCTGGAAGCTTGTCTTCCTTCTGTCTCCAGAACAATGTTTGCACCTGGCACGCTTCTGTAGACAGGTGCTCCTCCAGTGTTTTGTTGCTTCACTTTTGGCCATTATTTGCTCACAGATTAAGAGCCATAATTGGAATTAATACAGTACATTAGTAATATCTGTGCACACACACTGAAGTACAAAAGACAAGTGCATGTAAGTGTGCGCTGGAGGCAGGCATTTATGTACACACGTGTGTGGACACACACGTCCGTCTGCCTGCCTACACCACAACTGCAAACACAGAGTTGCTTCCTCTCCCTTGAGTTTGACCCTGTTTCCTGCATGGTTTTGTCAGGTGTTTTGAGGCCTTTCACAGCTGGCAGCAGCTCTGAAAGGTGCGACTCTGCAGGGAAACTCCTGGAAAACAAATTGGTGAGTGCCGCTGCTTCTTGTGAAACCGCTTTTCACTCTCTACCCCCCTCCTTCGTTCGTCTGTCAGATTTGTTCCAAAAGCAGGACTGCGGCTTGTCGTGAGCAAACACTAGACCTTCGTGAATGAACTCCTATCAGATAATACCCCCAAACCTGGTACACATAATCTCCCTCCCACACAAAGGCCCCCTTTTATAAACTTGAAATGGCATGCATTTATAACTGTCATTCCATTAAGACGAGCCAAATTGTTGTTGATAATTGAGACACAATATAACAGAGGGCATGTAGCATGCAGCAGGTGTGTGGTTAATCAGTCACAGGCTGCAGGAGGGGGGAGACCCGACTGTACAGGAGCAGGCAGCCTTTACACCAGCTCACTGCTCTGTCAATGGGGGGTATGCTGGGCTAAACGCCTGACATGGTGGAATTCTTTTGGAGGATGCACCACCTCTAGGATCAGACAGGGGTTGAGGGGTCAGGGGGATAAACAGGGCTTGTGCATGCTGGGCTGCAGGGGAATGGACGCAGGTGCTCCACGTGATCTATGATTAATCTCCTCTTTATGACAGATGAGACAGAGCCTCTGAAAAGCATGAATGAGACCCATAAGCCCCCTGCAATTATGCCCAATCACAATAAGGAGCTGGAGTGCTCAGAGTAGGAGTCATACAATCATCTGCATAATGCACGTCAGCGAGCCAAGTCTCCACACACTGGATTATTTATAATGAGGAGGAGCTGATAAAGCAGTGCTATGTTTTGAGTTTCAAAGTTGTAAGAGCTGCTGGTTCTGGGAGTAGTTTGTGATTGAGTTATATCCTCAGTATTCTTCAACAGAAAACACAGGAATCTCATGGATAATTTCACAACTGTGACTAAATTTTCTGTCTTCTGTTTCCTTGTAGGATCAGTCTGAAGGAGGATCTTGGTCACCGTCTTCATGGATCGTAGACCCGAGTCCATCATGCAACATGTTCAGATCCTCATGTTCTCCCTATCCCCCCAATCACAGTATTGTGTCCCTTACATTTAAACAGAAAATAATTACTTTTTATAATCTGTATGTGCTGCTATGGCAGAGCACTTTTCTGAGCCTATAGCAACAATATTTCATCAATACAAGAGCCTGACTTCACCATTAGCATCTGATCCAGTAAAAGCCCACTCAGTCCCTGTCAGCTCTGGTTTATTAGGAGCCATTGTCTCCTCACTGTCAGTGCTATGTTTGGCGTTCTCTTGCCTCCGGTACACTTAAGCCTGCTAATCCTTGCTAGGGCCAGCTGGCTCGCAGTATCACCTTCACCTGTGTGGCCAGCTTGTGTACATTTGTGAGTGATGGTTTAGAGGCAGTGCTTACTGTACAGACTACAAACACTTGCAGCACAAGACGAGGCAAAGGTCAGGAGCACTGTCACCATGTGGAGTGGAGAGCCATCCTTGAGCTAACTGATCACTCTTCACCTTCATTTGACCACATCTGTCAGGCTGTGGTCTGTTTCTTTGGCAGTGCTGACTCACTGGTCCAGTATCAGTCATTTTGCTACAATGCTAATGATCCATGGTGTGTTTCCTAGAGGATGTTACAAATACATCCATCATCTCAGAGATTGTGTTTGAGGGCCAAGCTGCAGCAAAACTTTTAGGCCAAAGGAGTGGAGACTTTCTAATCCTCTGTGTCTGATTTCAGGCTGCTGAGTTTAGTTATTCACAAATAAATACATGTACACACAATACACATTGTATATAGTACCTGCCAAAAGTATGGAAACATAACTCACAGCAAACTCCTGAAAAAAAAAGATGTCATCCAGAAGATTTTGGTGATAGCTTGCGTGCTTTGACCTTTTAGAGGCCAAAGGCATGGTCACACTGGGGGCGGAGGGGGGGTCATCAGCAGGGCATGGAGAGGTCACGCCTGAGGTCACATGGCATCTAAAAGATGCCCAGTGTGTGGTATGTCTTTGTGTGGATAGGTAAGATTGGGTTACCCTGGAGGTGCTAGTAGTTCAACCTTTCAATAGGACTCCTAAGTAAAGGAGAGAATGACCCCATTTTGACTAAGTGTATATGAGACGGTTGAGAAAATGGGCTTGTGATACCATTTGCATGAGGAATAGCTGGTTGAAGTTTATAGAATTTGTGTTGAAATGGTTAATGGCAACAAGTCTCAAGTTCAGTTATCATTTAACATCTCTTTGTATTACACAGTTTTAAATTTGAAGCTGCTCTAAACAAAATTTATATCTCAACAATGGATCAGATGATTATGTGTAATGTGAAAGGGGTGCAAACCCAGAGAAGATCATCATCCAGATTATCATCTCAGCTTTACAAAGCATGTTAGTCTCTCAGCTGCGTGTTTTGGGTTCCCGGCCTCTAGCCATACTGGTTTTTATTAACCTTGTTTCTAGCAGGAGCTGCCCAAACATAGCTCCATTCTTCTACATGAGCTGATGTTGCTGCACATCTGCTGTGTGTATAATTAGGCAGCTCTTTGCTCACTATATCAACTTTTGTTAAGAAAAATTTTAAAAATCAGTTATTACCACTTTGATATTTTGTGGTTTTGTCTGCCTGTGAGACAAAACAAGCAAGTTCAGCATTTTCAGTGTTATCCATAATGATTTAGACCAAAGGTTTTCACAGTGTGAGCTGCACCTCCCCAGGTGGCCACGTGACAGTATATGGTGTTGTGGGAGAGGGGGATGTGGAGGGAGAGTGTCAGACTTCACCTGATGTAGACGACACAGTTAGAATTTTGGTGAGTTAGTGTTGCACGCCCATACAGTTGGGAAACACACAGAAGCAGCAGAAGCCATGATCTTCAGGATTTTATTCCTTAGTACTGATCAAGCTCCAACATTGCAACCAAATATTCTTTAATTAGAAAAATGTTGTTTTTCAAACTTAAAGCCACAGATGAAACTATACACCTGAGTAGTTTGCATCGCTCCTCAGTTGATCTGTTAAATATACATTTTCATTCAATGATTCCAATTTTTTGTTTGTTTTCTTTTGTTTTGTTTGTTGTTGTTGTTGCCTGTTCCACATCAGTGAATTGTTCAGTTCTTTGGATCACTTAACAGTGTGATTCTGAGATTAAACCGAAGCCATAAATCAACTGTGATCAAATGCTGCTGCTCCCCAGTGAGGCTCATGATAAGACCTTTGTCCATTTGTACTCATCAGGAATTCATAGGTGGAATAACCCCTCCCCTTATAATTGTGTCATGACTGTTTCCCGGCTGCCCCGGTCAATGTGCGTTCACCCCGGTGTTTAGCATTCAGCTGCTACTGAAGATGTTAGTGTCCAAATGAATGTAGCGATGTGCAGGGCCACAAAGGGCACTAATCTGGACTGACCCTGGTGGATTGTTCTGGAAAAATGAGGAAGCTCGGGGACAGATTAGGACCCAGAAAGACTGAGATGGTGCAAGCAGAGATTAGTCATGTACTAAGCAAGGAAACCCCCCCCACCAAAGGACCACACACTGACAGTGTAGCCATGTCTCCATTGTCTCTAAGCCACTGCTGCTGTGGCCTCATTGGCCATTGTCTCTGAAATCCTCCAGTGTTTCCCCAAAAACCTGGACTCAAACCCTTTGACTGGCACTTGTCAGGGCTGATAGAGAGGGTGACATGTTGGGAAAAGCTTCGATAAAGGAGCCCTGAAAGGAAAATCCCCTGCCCATGAATAATAATTTGGCGAGGATTTTCCTTTTTATTCTTTCTGCTGTTCTTTCAGAAGATAGAGGAGTGAAAGCTCTGGGTGGGCATCAGTGAAAGGCCTTGGTACATAGATTGTCTCGCTGGTGCTCATCCCTTTCTCAAACATGCAAAGAAAGAGATACAAGTCCAGCCTTCTTGCCTCTGCCTGATGCGTGCTGCTGGACCATGCTGCAAGGGGAGTGTGTAAAGGACGGACAGTGTGTTTTGTGGGTGGCGTGTTTATTGTCTTCAGTGGCCTTTTTAAGTTCGGCGAGGGGATTTGACTTGGCCGTTTGCAGCCAAATCCAGCTATCTGCTGTGTTCAGATGCTGTGGTTGGTATGGTAACCTGCTCTGTGTGTTTTAGATGGGCTCTTGTTTCCAGCTTGGACTGACCACTAATCACTGCTGTGCATTCATGGATTAGGTCGTGTTGGAGGTTAGGATAGGATGGTTTGAAAAGAAGGAAACCAAATCCTGAATAATAATAGTCCTGTTTACATCTGCCTTTAAAGACTGTACATTATAAAAACAGGCTGAACTTACAGATTGTGTCTAACATTGAAATCTTTACTAGCCCAGCAGAAACTGAGCCATCAAAAATTTGATGCTTAATAGTTTGTGTAATTTTACCAAGGGAAAAAATAGATTGATGATTTGTCAATCTCTCAGTTTTATGTGTTTATAAAATGCAGATCTTTGGGTTTTAGACTTTCAGTCAGACAATTTGAGATGCTGAATATGTGGGTGTTAAACCAATGTTAATAATTTCTTCACATCACAATCATCCAGGTGCCCTTGTAGATATCCCAGACATGTGGTTTATGTTGCATATGAAAACACACGGAAATGATTTGTGCTTTGAAGATGAATACATTTCTCATCTTGTCACATACTTTGGTGACATTGAGGCTTGAGCAGGACACAGAGGCTGGCGGAAGCACGTGATTGTGCGCAGTGTGGCGGGAGACGGCTTGTCAAATGAGACATAGCTGAATCAATCTGGGCTGCTGACCTCTGTGCCCTCACTGACAGGAAACATGAATCCACGGCGCCATGTCTGAAAGCCTGATGAATCTTTTGCCTGTCGTCTCCTCAATAGTCGAGCTTTCTGCTCCTTATGAGTGGAACCATCTCCAGACATTTGAATTATTGTTCATGCATTAACACAAGTATCACTCATGTTTGCAAAAGTTAAACAAAAGAAAAGAGTCAGAAGCTTTAATGGAAACTGTTGCACAACACAAACTGAGCTTTCCTTAAGCTCAAGTTTGCAATGATGGCGCTTTTTATTTCTGAGCTACTACACAAAGTAGTGTATTCTGTGGACTTTGTATTTGGAGATAATGGAACTCTTAACTGGCTGGGCAGTGACAAAAAGGATGGCTGTTTCTGAGAGAGTTTGCTCCTTAGTGAGACACTTAAAGAACTGAAGGAAGATGAGAATGTAGAGTTTCTGAGGATAATGTGATGAGAATTACTGCTTATTAAAGGCCCAGAAATGTGTTGTAGTGCTTTTTACTAAGTGGCTACCTCCACAGGAGCAACAATGAATTACAGGGCTGTGTTGATTACACTGTGATATTTGAAAGGTTAACCCCTTTACTAAGTGATAAATACATTTCACATAATACAAGCCTACTAGACTGTTTGTGATATCTTATGTTTTATATGGTGTGCCTTTTCTCCAGGTTCCAGCACAGATCAAGGGGGCCCCACTGAGAATGACATCAGTTATCAAGGATGGGGGGACCAGGTTGAGTCCTCAGCTGGAGGAAGGAGGCCCAATTTTCTTGACCACAGAAATGAATTGACAGAGGAAAGGAAAACAAAGGCGCTTCACATGCTTTCCAAACTGCAGGACAACACGCCTCAGAAGAGCAACACGCACAAACATCACTCCAACTTTGAGGATTGTGAGTCTATTATAAAAAATAATTTGACTATTTTATGGCTTAAACTTTAAGGCCTTCAAGCCACTTTAACTCAGGTTGTTGCTGTTGTTTTCCATCATGTAGCCCTGCAGTGTGATATACAGCAATCCAATACAGTCCTAACAGCTCATCTGCATTCTCTCACCGGAACAAGTAGTACAAGCAATCTGAAGTGCAGAGGGAATTTCATATGATTTGTCAACTGTAGTTAAATCCTTTCTGAAAGCCAGTAACTAGTCATAAAATCAAGTGAGGCAGTACATGAAAAATCAAGTAATAAATGATGAAGTAATACATGATTAAATACAGTGCAGAAAACTCAAAGCTGCCGAGAGTCAAAGTACAACAGTAAAAGAATATAACCTCAAAAATATTAAAATGTTTTCAGCATATTATTGAGTTTCTTGGCTCTATTAACCAAGCTGGACATCCTGGGTGATATTTCCTTGTTTCTCCTTAAACAACATGGTCACACCAACACCAGCTTGCTTTTTTTTGTAACAGGAGGCTGATTTTGGTGTGAACATTAACTAAAGCTGTCAGTGAACTCATTGTTTAAAAACATGTTGAAGCTAGTGTCATTCACTTTTTAGAACTACATTAGGCTATACACAAGTCAAATAAGGTGCAAGCTCTACGATATAGAGAGCTTCGGTCAGGTCAGTATGATAAATTTAAATAAGAAAACAGACCCCTGGTGGAAAATGGTAACATTATATTTAACTGTTTAAAATCAAAGGTTGTTCAGCTCATTGGCGTTTGAAAGCTAAAGCTGTCTTTGTCTGCCAACACTCCTCTGTGCATCCCGTTCACACAATAAACCGTGTAGGAATAACACAAATACTCTAATGCATTTACCAACAGTCCTCTCGACTCTAAACATTTCCCCTCAATTACAGCACTTGATTTTTAGAATTGTCTTTTTTGCAAACAGGAGTTTAGCCAGGAGTTCTCCAGTTTCCCTCAAGTGCTTAATTTCTGGCATCCAAGCCTTTGTGAGAGTGCCGGGGCTGGCAGGTCCGACAATAAGCATCCACACCTAAGGTCAAGGCTGAGGGGCAGGCCCTCTGCAGAGGTCAGTGAGGTCAGAGTTCTACTGTGAGTGCTGGAACCCCTGAATGGGACTGATTGGACAGGTTTGTTCAGACGGTAATCAAGCAGGATGAAGAACCCTGCAGCTGTCTCACTATTCTGCAGCCAGGTTATTACTGATAGAAAGCTTTTGTGTTGCTACAGGAGTATGGACCGTTGTCGTATGAGTGTGTGCTTTTGCACTTATTCTTGTGATAGCCAGGTTGAGTTTTATCACAACAGTGTGAGGACAGCTTTGCAATATAATGTTGGCTGGTCTTTGCTTGTTTAAAGCTGCTATCATGAAGAATTTTATAATAGCCATGTATCAAAATACTGAGAATAATGTACAATGTGACTGGGTTAGAGAATCATCAACTGAATTTATAGCTCTGGTCAACTTCACAGAGCTTTTATAGAGAGTTTCTGTTCACTGTTTAGCCAACCCACAGCTTGTTGGTGAACACAGCGGAGCATTTAGCAGCTCCAGAGCCAGACATTTTCCCTCAGGAGTTGGTAGAGACCAAAAAGAGAGCTAAAAGTGAGGGAAGATTGGACGTAGATTCATCAGGTGGACACACACACACAACACCCCAAATGAATGAACATGTTGCTGTGTAATTGCTGAATGGGTTAATAAGCATCTGTTTCCTAAGAATTTCAACAAAACTACTTAAAGGTTGAGGTTATTGCAGATATAAGAAGCATTTTTAAGGCCAGAGTTTTGGTTTAGATTTGAAGCAAGACTTTGTTACTTGTGAATTTAAGAAATAACAATATTCAAACTCGACTTTTCTCACTCACGGGTTTTGCCACTACAGCCTTAATGACCACTAGCATAATGAAGCTATTGCTGCATAACCTTTAACTAACCTTTTATATATTTTAGCATTTACCATTTTTCTTTGCTTGTCACTTGTGTCCACCACTGTTCAACAAATGTTATCTACAGTAGGTTCATGATTAAGAAGGATAAAGTCAGGATAAAGCTCATTGTTTGTATTTCAGTCCACATATCAAAAGGTTGTTGTGATTTATGCTGCAAGAAAGCACTGAATACCAGAATTTACAGTAAATTATTGTGGTACAGACACTTCAGAGAACAATTTATAATAGGAAGTAAAGTGAAAAGTGTGAAGACATGCAAACGTGCTGCTGATTATGTATCAGAATGCCTCTAAGTAAATTAAAAAAGTTAAATAACTGCCAATAGATTTTTCTATATCATATTATTGAAAATTAAGTTCTTCGTGATAGAATTGTATGTTTTGTGTGTTTGGGGTTCCTTTAGACACACAGTGACTGTGCTTGTGTTTATGGGTGTGGTGTGTTTACAAAGTGTGTCCTATCATATTTTGCTCCTGAGTGTTTGCCAGGTTTCTTTTGTTTTGCTGTGTGAGTCTTTGCACATGCACACAAATGTCTGTATCTGTGTGTGTGTGTGTGTGTGTTTGCTACCTCTCATCCAGACACTTGTAACTGTGGCCCTTCATTAGGCTCTGAAAGGCCTTACTGGTGATAATTGTCACTTTTTGGTCCAACACAGACCACTTGCCAAAAGATTCCCAAAATAGAGCCATCAGTCAGCGGCTGCTCGCAAGAGGCTTGTGTTTGGAGTCAACAATCAGAGGCGAGTACGAGCACAGTGAATATGTACATAAGCATAAAGAGTACATCAGAGATGAGTCAGGTCAAACCTGCTCCCACTGTGCCGGGAACATGATTTATATGGCACACACTTGGCTGCTGGTTGTTGAATTGTATGCCGGTACAGTGGCTGGTGTGAGGTCTGCACCTCCTCTGCTGCTGCTTAGTGCTGAGATCTTGCAATATCTTATAATGATCCAGGCTGTTAACGTTTTTATTGGAAGATCACTCACTCTTTGGCTGAATGGAATGAACATGAATACTAAGAAAATATAAATAATATAAGACAATGTTGTAATAATTACTATTAATTTGGCCCTCAGTAGTCTTGTTTACACATGACAATCCTCTCTGAGAAACGAGGACAGGATGAACTGCACAGTTCGATCAGTTTTACAGTCTCAACATGCATTTATTTAGACTTTTAAGAGCATTTTGTTCCTGAGCTTCACCTGTGGTGGACAGTATGGACTTAAGAGCATTTTGTTCCTGAGCTTCACCCGTGGTGGACAGTATGGAATAGTGCTTGGATAACAAGCACTATTCACTGATTGACACTGATGTCAAATTGCTGTGGTCTCCTTTGTGTAACCACAGCAGCTTAGCGTCTGGTGTGGTGTGAGGGACTCTGTGGTCCAAGGTCTCCAATGACTGTCAGTGTTGATATGGAACACCTGGCACCAAGGATCCAGCCTCGCTTTGACCCCGCCCGCCACCGGCCGATATTACAGTTTTCTATCTGTGGGCGGAGATCAGACCTAACTGTTGTTCTCAACTCACTGAGAGAGGAAAAAAGAAAAATAAAGCCTCGCAGGTAAACAAGAAAGACCAGTTGCTTCAAGGAGAGATGGAGGGAATTCGAAAGCAAGTTTGTGAACGTGTGTGTGTGTACGTGTGCAAGAGGATGTCCGTAGTGTGCGTTTGGGTACAGTGCTTTTATGTAACCCCTGTTTGTTCAGGCTTTGGTCTGGAATACCTCTATGTATTTACCATCAGTTCAGAATGACTAGGCAAACAAACAGCCCGCCTATTGATGAGCGGCAGCGTGGGATATGCCCGCTGTATTCAGAATAGAGAAAACAGGATGGGGTAGAGGGAGAGAGAGCAGAGTAAATCTGTCAGAGAGTCTATTATATGGTGTCCAAACAGAGAGCACCCTCCACAATGGCCTTATTAATGGTACAATGTCAAGGAGTGGCAGGGCAATAATAGCAGATGATTTTGCTTTGTGAGGTTATCTCAGGTGATCTGGTACTGCAGTATAGTAGATGATTTAGGGGGCATATCAGTGTGGATCTATGGCAGGAGCTGATTGGGTATAGGTAGTGCATGTGTGTGCAGAAAGCCTAAGTTGTGGATTGTGGTGAGGCTGATGGCGTGCAGCCAGAGACAGGAGTGTGGCCGCTACGTGTGTCTGTTTGTTTTCCTACCAGAGCTTTAAACCCCCCCCACACACACACACACACACAAACACGCACTCCTCAGTCTTTTCAGAGAAAGTGAGGGGGAGGAGTCGTGTTTTCATGGAGCAACAACAGCGCCTGCAGGAGAATACTATCGAATGCTGTCACCCTCTTTTTCGCTGTAGCACCCACTCATGTCAGAGCAGTATTTGTAAAATTATGGCTCCTGCTCTCTCTAAAAAGTCTTCCAACCTAAAAGACTAAATAGATTTGTTATTGCCTTTTGAAAACAACCCATATGACCAATACAGAAATTATTTTCAGGAACTTTTTTCCCTGATTTTCCACCTCCAGTGTGGAAGATGATGACAGCTGTCTGCTAGCGTGGCCTCTCTGATCAGGCTGCCATCGTACCACCTTATTCAAACTGTTTTATTGAGCATAGCCCAGCTCTTTATTACTTGACTTCAAGAGGTTACTGGACAGAAAAACTGAAACATAAAGAATTTTAGCTATTTAAACAGCAGCATTCTGGGCCAACTGAAGACGAGACAGGAAAGCATTGCTTTGTTTAGTCAATACTAGAGGTGATGAAGGCATGAATCGCCTTTTCAGAGTCACAAACAAAAAGGAAATGCCTGACTTTAGCTGAAAGTCTCAGCTGATAGATATATGCATAATAAATGCATACTCTTCATTTGTGGAAATGTGAAGTTAATACTGTTAACTGGTAACAGGGACTCCTTATAGGATCTGTTAAATCTGGGTGACATACAATATGTTTCTGATGTATCATAGCTGTAAATGGGAAATTTAGTTAAACATACATAATTTATTGAGTTTATTTCCTGATGATGATCA